ATTTAAAAATTGATTTAATTTTTAAATTTTAAATTAAAATTTTAATTTTTAAATATAAGTTGAAATTTTAATTTTTTTTAAAGTTAAAACTAAGGCATACTGACCTAACCTACCCACATACACAATTTGGGCAGTTATGGTACAATTGCTAGTAGTTTGGACTTAGGATTCTGATTTCCAGACCTGAAAATATTTTTGAATTTTTGATCTTGCTCGAACGACAACAAGTAATTTTCTCTCTTTTTTATTCTATTTAATTCATATATTTTATGATTTAAATTTAAAAATTTTTATTTTCAACAAAAATAGATTACTATTGAACTATTTAAATTGTTGTTATAAAATATTTTTGAATTTTGAGTAGGCATATATTTATATATTATAAATTTTATATATTATATTTATATTAAATTTTCATTTTTTATTATTTTATTTTTAATAATTGAAATTTATTATAACTTTTTAGATAAAAAAGATAATTATATAAGTTTTACTCATTATATTTATATAAAATCTTAACTATTTATTTTTTTATTTTTAATAGTTTAAATTTATTTATTTTTATTATATTTATTAAAAATAATTATTTTTTATATAAAAAATATATAAATATTAATTATTAAAAATAAAAAATAAATATCAAAATTTATTATAATTATATTATATAAAATTTATATATAAATAAATTTCTCTTTTTATAAGTGTGGTAAAATTAAAACTCACAATATGTTTCATTTATTTAAATTACAATTGAGTGGTTATCGCAATGTGAACCTCTCCTCTCCTCATCTAAATATGTTCGTTTTATTATTTGAATGCTATAAAATAAATTTTATTTTTTGCACTTGACTCTTTGGATCAACTGACAATCTGTTAATTTGAGATGTATTTTCCTCTCTCCCTCTCCCATGGACGAACTTCGAGCCTGCGGCCCGTCCCTTGACAACTTGTTTAAAAAAAAAATGTTTTTTTTTTATTTTTCTTTTATAAAAAAATCCCTTATTTTACTATTTAAATAAATTATATTAAACTTGTAAAATAAAAATAATTAAGTGAGAATAGGCTCTCCTTTTAACTAATGTTATTGCATACTAAATTACCAACAGGTTTTCGTAATAAAAAAAGATATGAACAGATTACCCGACAGTTTTTCGTAATTAAAAAATATGAACAGATTCTAGAAATTTTCTTCTTTCCTTGAATTCCTTCTATCCAGTCAGCACAGATTACCCCTCATTGTATCTTACCTACTCTTTTTAACTCGTAGAAACTTCTACTTTCCCTTCCTACTCTAGAAACCCCCATCCCCAAAAATTGAATGATTCAAATTCTCTTCATGAACATCATAATCTCACCCTTCTCTTCAGACCAAGACGCCGTTGCGTTTCTGTAATCTCATCGTCGCAGGAGGCATGTTCATCTTGTTCCCTGTTCCCCTACCACTGCCTCTTCTTTCTTACGCTTCTCAATCCCCTCGTCATACCCAATAGAAAGCCGTTGACTTTCTCAGCGATTCGACGACCCATCTGAAAGATAGAAAGAGAGGTGAAGGGATTTTAGAAGAACTGAAATGGACCACGCTGTTCTTGATGATATTATCAATCGGCTTTTAGAGGCCCGAGGGCGAGCTGGGAAGCTGGTTCAGCTATCGGACTCGGAGATCCGGCAACTCTGCATGATTTCTAGAGAGATCTTCTTGCAGCAGCCTAATTTATTGGAGCTTGAAGCACCCATCAAGATTTGTGGTATTTTCTCTTTTTTATTCTTAGTTTTATCCGATTCCCACATTTTTTTCCTAAGGTTTTCGGCGTTTGGATATGGCTTCACTGCGATAATTGGTGTGTCATAGCTGACTTCCTTTGTTTAATCATCATTATTGATTTATTTTGAGTTTTGAAGTTTAAAATTGGTTATTGGTTACAGTAATTGTGAGCCTAAATTTTAGTTTGGATGGACCTTTGAAGATGGGCATCAGCTCATAAGCATCCAACTTATTTATCTTTCGGTGATTCTATGCTGGTGTCTGTGCTAATGTATTTTGTATTGAACCTACCACTACCAGGATTTTCCATTTGCAATTGCATCTTTTTCTTGTTGGGGCTCATGCTTTGTTTTTAATTTTATTTGTTTTCTTGGAATCTAGCTAGTTAACTTTGTGGGTTGAGTTAATGCATAGCTGAACTCTTTAAGGTTGATGGTAACCCACGGAAACCCATCAAGAGCTCTTGAGTTAATGTATAGCTGCACTTTTTGATTTTTAGGATGCTTGGAAGTAAAATATTGCAAGTGCAGTCTCTATTGTATTCCCTTCCACTCTCTTGGAAGAGGTGTGGGGGAGGGTGTGGGTTGAGGTTATGAAGTGACTCTTCTTTTATTATTGTTATTATTATCATTATTTGCTTAATGAAATTAGTTAAGTTTGGAATTTGGAATTCATATTCCCTAATTGATGAGCACCAATCACCTTTTCTTCCTTATCAATTTGGGTTCTGGTTTGAATTTAATAAGTCTTGTTCCCCTCTCTTATATATCAAATTTTTATTATGAGGCATGGTGCATCCATGCATTCAAATGGTTGGAAGATCTACTCAATGATTAGTTTCAGCTCTGTGTATGTATATGCATATCTTTATATATAATTTTTCACCGAAGTATAATAAAAAGTTATATCTTTATGTATAACTTGTTGAAATGAACTTGATGTATATCCATTTTGCTGTTGAATTTGCTACAGCCTACCAGTTAATGAATTATATTGATGTTTATATTCATGGTTCAATATGGTCATACAATCTATTTCAGATATTGGAAGGAGGATTGTTTTTGTAATCATCAATTTTGTGACAAATGTTTTCCTAAATGACAGTATCTTTTTGGTTTCAAGTGATTACTCAACTTTTTTATTGGTTGCAAAAACTGCATGTCAAAGTTTGACATGGTTAAGTGGTGGGAATTGTTCTGTGGTGGCTTTCATTGCCTATGTACCCATACTAATCTCTTCTGGGGTAAAGGATATTACCTCTGTCCACTTTTAGTTGTCACATTTTTGTGTGGCTCAATAAAAGAGAAATTGCCTACCTCTCCCTTCTTTTTGTAATAAAAAATTCATTACAGCCTTTAATAAGGGTAAAATTGGAACAAAGAATTTATAGAAAATGTGACAACTACATTTAGACACCCTTTTATAGCAAGTGTGACGGTTAAAAGTGGACGGAAGTAGTAAAAAAGAACATATGATTGGTGGTCCAAATATGTAGATTCCTGTTTACTGTCCCCTCTATCCTTTCTCCCTTAAGGGTGGTAGGCTGTGTTAAGATTCAATTTTCTTTTAATGCCTCTTTTGGGTTTTCAATTTGAGATTGTTGTCCAATTTTGTAGGGTTAGGATTTCTAAATATTTTCTGTTTGACTTTTAGGTGACATCCATGGTCAATATTCTGATCTTTTGAGGCTGTTTGAGTATGGTGGCCTGCCTCCTAAAGCAAACTATTTATTTTTGGGGGATTATGTTGACAGAGGCAAGCAAAGTCTGGAAACAATATGCCTTCTCCTTGCATATAAGATCAAATACCCAGAAAATTTTTTCCTCTTGAGGGGAAACCATGAATGTGCTTCTATAAATCGCATATATGGTTTCTATGATGAATGTAAGAGAAGATTTAATGCGAGGCTATGGAAGGCTTTCATAGACTGTTTTAACTGCCTCCCAGTGGCAGCACTAATTGATGAAAAGATTCTCTGCATGCATGGGGGCCTTTCTCCCGACCTACAGCATTTGGATCAGATTAGAAATTTACAACGACCAACTGATGTACCTGATACAGGTTTGCTCTGTGATCTTCTTTGGTCAGATCCCAGCAAGGATATTCAAGATTGGGGAGTGAATGACAGGGGAGTTTCATATACTTTTGGTCCTGACAAGGTGACAGAATTTCTTAAGAAGCATGATCTGGATCTCATTTGCCGTGCTCACCAGGTTTAACTTGTCCTATTACTCACTTCAGTTTTCACATCTTGCTCTGAGTTCATATCCTCTACTGCCAGTAAGGGCTGTAGAGACTAGAGAGCATATGATGAGGAGCCAAATAATATCCCCTCTCTGGATTTGTTGGTTTTTTGGGAACCATAGCAATTTTAGTCTATTGGCAGTTACTTTCCATGAGTCATGCTTCTCCTCTGTGTTAAAGCAACTTTGCTCTTTATGGATTTTGATCCTGTTGGTACATTCTGTATATTACTTTAGGTTAACCAAGAAGTCTATAATCCATTACCAGTCTTAGCACCCAAATCAGTAACTATTAATTCTTTGGTGCATAACTTGCAGGTTGTGGAGGATGGTTATGAGTTTTTTGCCGACCGTCAACTTGTAACTATATTTTCAGCACCCAATTATTGTGGAGAGTTTGACAATGCTGGTGCCATGATGAGTGTGGATGAAACTTTGATGTGCTCCTTTCAAATTCTGAAACCTGCTGATAAGAAGCCAAAATTTAATTTTGGGAGCACAACTACAGCTAAGCCTGGAAACACCCCTGCAGGTGTCAAGGTAAAGTCAAAATTTTACTTTTGAGACTTCAGTGACCCTTTCGCTGATGAAGTTTCGGTCAATTAGTCCACATTGACTGAATGATGTTACTGCATCACTACATAGTTTTTATGTCTACATTATTTTTTATTTTTTATTCTTTGTCATAGGACTCAAACATATTTATTTCATTTTAAGCATCAAAGATTCCTCTTATTTATGCTAAGTGACTATCATTTTGTGGCTAATGTTATTGGCAGAAAGCAGAGATGTATCCATTGGGGGGTGGTGCAGTGGTAAGGATTCTCAAGATGTATGAGTTAGGGCCATGTCTTGAGTTCGAACCCTGCCATTGTGTCTTTATTGTATCCCTCGAGATTTAACCTGATGCTAGGCCTTTAGGTGTAAGCTCAGTACCCACGGGTTTGAGATGGTGTTGGTCCAAAGAGCCTGCCTTCATAAAGTTCCCTCATTCCCTGTTAGCAGGAGAAAGAAAATGATAGAAGCTTTAATGTAGAAGAGCAGATATAGATGTTAAGTTTAAGCAGAATATGAAAGAGCAGAAATAGATATTATGTTTTTCTGTCTCAATCTCTTGCACAATAGGACAGGTTGGGGAGTGATTTCCCTTTTTCTATTCTTTCTTAAAAATAATTCCATCCTCTGCAGAGGGGGTCTTTTGATGAACAAACATGGTTTCTGGAGTAATCAAGGAAGTCCTATATTACTTCACATCAATTCTTTTCTGGAAAGCTTACGTGTGAGGTGCATTGGCATGACTTTGAAGAATTTCTTTCTTTGATTGCTATCTCTCTTCCAAATTGATCTTTGTTTTGGTCTAGTGTTGGTGTCCTTTTATT